TTAATTATATATAAGCAAGAGAAAAGTTAGGTCATTTAAAAAAGTCATGGTTTTATTTTCTTTTTGGCATCACAAGATATACGCACTGTTAGCATAAAATCCATCATCGGAAATGTGTGAATGTGTAATATAAGCTTACACTTGGGCTGCGGAAATATGAATCTGTTTATTGAGATTTCTCTCTCTCTCTTCATGCACTGCTGGGGTTTATGTTTTATGAGTGTGAAGAGATGCAAACACAGGAAAGATATTGATGAATACATGATTGAATGCAAACTCAGTTGACTGAACAGAATGAGTTGTATAGTATGTGGATTTTGTGGATGTGGAAAGACTGTTCAATAGTTTTAAAACTAAACTGAAATAGTAAGATTTAATTAACTAAAATTAGAGAAGTGATGTTACATTCATAAAAAGATTGCAGTTGCAATGATCCAGACACAATAATAAGCCAAATCTGCAAATTAATTGTGGCCTACTGTGAAAATACTGATTCAAAAGATTAAAGTTTTTACAGTCAACTATCAGTGTATTTTTGTCCCAACGAACCTTTTGTCATCAAGCTAATTATGAGTTAAATGTCAAGCTACTCTCAGTCTTCCCTTCTGTAATTAAGGATCTGTGTCTAAATGTTTGTGAAACGTATAAATTACATTCCTCCGGGTACATTTCATTGCATGTTTCAGATGACAAATCCACTAGAGGGTGCTGTTTACATTTTTGAGAATCTGAAATGTGTTGCCTAGGGTACAATTTGTTGTATGTTTCAGATACAAGTCCTACATGTACACATGTATGAGAAGGCAGGGCTTATTGTACCACTAAACTAAACCCATGCCTAAACTCAAGCAATAGTCTTTACAAAAGCAAGCAAAAGAGAAAAGTGCACCACAACCATATAATTTTACCTTGATTTTACATTACTTTAATCTCTTTTGTGGAACCATGCTTTGCCGGACTCAAACCTAAGTGAAACAACTTTGCAAAAAGCTAATTTTTAGGAACACATTTAAATAGTTTTTTTTTTTTACTTTTGAATTACTATTTGGTAGGGGTGTAACGATTTATCGTTGTACAAATTATTGCGATGCAAAAATGTCACAATATGCTTCGTGGCGTTATGGCGATTTGATTACGATATGACAACCGTTTTCTCTTATTAGTTGAGCTGTTTGCACGTGAGCTACGTTCCACCTGCTGTCGCACGTGAGTTCAGATTGCAGCAGCAGTAATGTTAGCAGACCAAGATGAGTGGAGCTGAAATAGAGGATGGCTCATCCTCTCAAAATCAGACGTCTGGCAACATTTCGGTTGTACAGTCATTGCTTTAGACTCGTCCGCTTTTTGTCACGCATACTGGGTCAAACATCCTAAGTTTTAACGTCTTCACAGTGATTTACATACTTTGCACAGCGACATGGAAACCTTCTAATGGTGTTGAAAGAGTCACAGACTGTATTTATAAGGTACAATTCACCCTAAAATATCATTCTGTTTTCATATAATGATGTATTGGCGGCCGCAAAATCACACATGACGTGAGCTGACCGTGAGGGCGGACTATGAAAGACGCGCGCGTATGGCAAGCCGTTTTAGCATTTAAACTCTTGTTCTGACTATCCATAAATATATTTAGAGATATCTCTAATTATATTTTGACTAGTCATTATTATAATTCGACTAGTCAGAATGACAATTAGAGATATCTGCAATTACAATTGTACTAGTACGAAATCAGATTGGAGATATCTGCAAATATATCATGACTAGTCATATTCCTCCATTGACTTCCATTGAAAAATATTTGCAGATATCTCTAAATGAGTTTTGACTAGTCACAATTGTAATTAGAGATATCTCTAAATGAATTTAATTAAATATGAATTAAATACCTAGAAATGTTTATTTTTTTTGCACACACAAAAAACGCAAGTGACCAAGCAAAGCCTTAAGCTCTTACTGTTAAATTCAATTGAGTAGAAAGCTTATTTTTTTTGCACCTTTACTTAAATTGTTCCTTAATTTTGTCTCTGTCATTTCAATAATATTTTTTAAGAAGTTTTTAAATTGTTTTATTTTCCAGAGACAGGCCTGTTTAATTTATTTTCTTAAAGAAGGTTCCGTTTAATAAGTTGAAACAACAGAAATACTTAAAAAAATAGTTTACTTGGTAAAATTTGCATTTCAGTTTAATTTTTTTAATTTTTATTCCAAATATCGTGATACATATCGAATCGTAAACATTATATCGTGATACACATCGTATCGTGAGCTGAGTGTATCGTTACACCCCTACTATTTGGTCTATGATGATGATGTAATAGGTGGGCATCACTTTGTAGCTCTGCATTCTTTAACAATATTCAGTCTATCTAAAAGTCTTTTAGCATGTTCAGTCCATCAAGTTCAGATCTCCACAAGTAAATACAATATGATTGCATAATAATACTTTACAGCAGCTTTATTTAAAGGGACTGTTCACCCAAAAATAAAAATTTCTTCACCATATTATTTTAGGAATTTCTTTCACAAAACACAAAATAAGATATTCTGAAAAATGTTGGGGGAAACTGCTTTTTCCAACATTCATTCATTCATTTTCTTTTCAGTGTAATCTCTTTATCAATCTGGGGTCACCACAGCAGAATGAACCGGCAACATATCCAGCCCATGTTTTACGCAGCGGATGCCCTTCCAGCTACAACCTATCACTAGGAAACATCCATACACATACTCATTACACACACATACACTACAAACAATTTAGATTACTTAATTCACCTGTACCGCATGTCTTTGGACTGTTGGGGAAACCGGAGCACCAGTAGAAAACCCACATGAACAAGGGGAGAACATGCAAACTCCACATAGAAATGCCAAACTGATCCAGCCGAGCCTCGACCCAGCGACCTTCTTGCTGATCATGCTACCCACTGCGCCAATACACATTATTACCATGCAACATGTTAATATTTCATTCTGTAACATTAGGATTCGTTTTTGAAGACACATCTACGTTTTAGGGAATAAGACAAAACTGCTGAGACTCATACAATGCAGGAAAAAACAATGCCAACCCTGGCACAGTATGCTGTTTGGGTGACACTTTTTGAGCCCATCCGAGAAATCTGACTCTTCCACAGATTTGCCAGTGTAATGAGTGCTGGCTAAGCAACCAAGCTTCATTTGAGCACAGAAGTATGCAGAGCGCCGCAATGTGTTACTATTAGCCGTGCCTGTTTGTGTTCGTGGTGTTAAATAAAGCCGGCATAAATGAATGAGAGGCGGAAGGCTTTATGTATATGTGATGTGGTGTGTGTGATGGAGAAGAAACAGATGTAGGCGTGTGTGGGTGAATCGCTAATCAAGTGCACAACTGAGGCCACTGGAACGAGCATCATTGAGACGTATTAAATGCAAGGCCATGAAAACCGCAGACAAGGGCAGCTTGTAATGGACTCCGCTTTGACCAGGCAGACCTGCTAAAGGTCTACTCGAAACCAGAGTTACATCTGAAGACTCCCTTAAGTCCGATAAAATCTCAGTACAGTCAGCTCACTTAATAAAGTACATTTTATGGGACAGTTTACAAGAAAAGAAGACTTCTGTTATTGTTTATGATATTCTAAACCTGTTTTTCTTTTTTTTTTCCAAAGGACACAAAATGAGAGATTTCGTGAAATGTTAAAGCTGCAATTTTCCATAAGACTAAAGCATACAGTATTCTGACCACATTTCTCAGAGAATTAACAAATCTGTTTTCATTTCATTAATATATTTAGAGACATTAAGAGTAATTTTCATCTGTAGTCCCTCGACAGAATGATGTGAAAGACAAAGATCAACGATAGCACAAGTAAACCAAAAAGCCTTATTTATATGACGGTTTTTATATTAAGGGAAAAAAAAAAACTATATAACCCTATCATGAAAAGGTTGTTGTTTGGAAAATAGCAGCTCTGACAACCCTGCACATCGCTCCTTCAGTTGTCCATCTTGAAACAACGTCATACCTGTTATGCTCAATGTCTCCTCGCATAGTATTATATCAAAAGAATATCAAAAGTACAAAAAATATCAAAAGTACAGCATTAGGATTCTTCAAAAATCTCTTTTTGTGTTCCACGGTATTAGACAGCAATAATAAAACAACTAAGAGGCAAGTAAAAGATGTAAAAGAGGTTTTACACCTCTGAATATCTCTTAAAATTCATTCAATTTCCTTTGAAGTCCCTTATTTATCAGGGGTCACCACAGCGGAATGAACCGCCAACTATTCCAGCGTATTTTTTACACAGAGGATGCCCTTCCACACATACTCTAGGTCCAATTTGGTTAATTTTTTTAACCTATAGCGCATGTCTTTGGACTGTGGGAAAAATCCCGAGCCGGGACTCGAACCTGCCATGATCTTGCTGTAAGTGCGAACCACTAAGCAACCGTGCAACCCAACTCTCAAAAATCTAAATCAAAACTAAACAAAAGTACTGGTCCAAGACTTCTGACACACTGAGAGGAGAATGTGAAGAAGAGGGGTTGAATTGTTCAATCCAGAAAAGGCACAGCATGTTAAGAAGCGGTACTTTTTCATGGCGTCCCCCCAAGGCTCTGTACTCAGCTTTATTAGCATAATGCTAAACAGAGACTCAGATGGCAAGACAAGACCTCAGCTAAAGTGAGCAGTGAAGGGCCTTCAAGTGGAGAGCTGATGAAAGAAAGAAATACCATGATTGGACAAGAACAGAGAACCCAAGAAACACTTTTCCACTCTACTAAATCACGCATCCTTATCATCCTGCCTGTATTAATCCAAGAAATGTGTCAACCTCCAAGAAAACATCGGTTTGGAGCAGTAAAACAGAGGAAAAGGGGAGCAGGGCCAATGCAGCATAATTAGCCTGAGCTGCTTGGTTACCTTCCAAACACAGCAAAGGATACTCAGAGAAGAGGCGGAGACAGAGCTAAAGAGAGAGAGAGAGAGAGAGAGAGAGAGAGAGAGAGAGAGAGAGAGAATGATATGAAGGGGATGATTGCTTTCCACACACACTTGAAGCTCAGTCTTTCTATGAGACGCAGGATAGCAGCATGACAGCGCAACATCTACGATGTACCATTGTGTGCGCCATGCTGAGAGTGTGTGTGTGAGCCGTGCGAGAGAACAGAAGTAAGTTTGTCAGGGGGCAGAAAGAGCGCAGTAACAGCAGCGATATATCAAGAGGAACAAGAAAGAGTCTGTGGGAGTGACAGGAGAAGATGCGCGTGGGGATGAAGTGGGTTTGCCGGAGGAGTTGAGCCGTGCCGCTCAAACACAAATACTTCTAAAATCTCAGGACTCTTAAGGAAAGAGGAGAGAATGAAGAAACACTCGGCTCGTGTGGCTCCGCTCAGCTCCTATAGCGCTCAGGTGCTCACCTGCCCCATCTCGGAAGGTAAAACGCAATGCTTGTGTGTTACTGATTATGCTTACATTGCAGAATTTGAGCACAGATATTAGCTACATCTGAGAAAAAGGGACATCCTTAGAGTTAAATTGTGGGTTTTGTTGAGTCTAGTAACTTTTTATGAAGATGGAAATCTTGTGCATTGTAATAAAAAAAAGAAGGGATAAAACAGATATAAATAAACTCGGAAATGATTGTGATGTAAAATGTATTGAGAGTATGTGTGTATGCATGCATTATGAGGACCAAATGTCCCCATAAGTATAGCAATATCAGTAAATTTTTGACAATTTTTTTGATCAAATGAACAAAATTAATTCAGAAATGATTGTGATGTGAAATGTATTCAGAGTATGAGTGCGTACCTTGTATTGCATACATTATGAGGACCAAATGTCCCCATAAGTATATCAATAACAGTAAATGTACAACATTTATTTTGATCAGATGAGAAAAATTAAGTATTAATTAAGTTATAGCATTTGAAAGCACTCAGAATTAAGTATTACTAGTATTAGTAGTCAAAATACAAACTGTTTCCCATGAAGTTTGGGATGGGGGATAGAAGAGACAGTCTGAACAGTAAAAACACCATTACAGCTATGGGAAGTCCCCATAAAGAAAGCTGTACAAATGTGTGTGTGTGTGTATGTGTGTGTGTGTTCCTTTCCAGAAGTTAGTGTGTTAGCAACCAAGCAGAAAAGGAGCCGCAATCTGGCCTCAGCAGTTTATATCACATTTTCAGTATCGAATTACGTTTTATTTAACGATGTACAGTTTGTTTATTTAAGTTCGGCACAGGTTTCATGGTGTGTCGAGTCCTTCTGAAGTAAAACACTTTGCAATAAGGTCTTCTTTGTTAACGTTGGTTAATGCCTTAACATATTTTGTAACATTTAATAATCTGTTAATGTTTAGTAACTACAAATAGTTAAAAATACAGTTGTTTACTATTTGTGTCAGAGAGTTAACAGTTACAGTATTACTTTAATTTAAAATATAAAGTAGTAAACGTCGTATTTAACAAAATATTGTTAATGAATGCTTAAGTTTATTGTTTATTGTTAGCAACCAGGGAGAATAGGAGCCACGATCTCGCCTGAGGAGTTTGTATCGCATTTTCAGTAATAAATATCATTTTATTTGATGATGTACAGTTTGTTTATTTACGTTTGACACAGGTTTCATGCTGTGTTTGAGTGCTTCTGAAGTACAACTCTTTACAATGAGGGCTTGTTTTTTTACATGATAAACAAAAATGACTTTTGCTGCTTGTTTAAACTACTTATTTGAAATAAGTTGAAGCAACATAATTATTATATTTTTGGGGGTGGGGTTGGGATTTATTAGTTTTTTGTTCAATCCACCTAAATTTGTAAAAACATTAAGTTAAATACATCGATTTTTGTTAGGACAGCATGAAATAACAGTATTTTTTCAACATAGTCTCATTCTTATAACGTAGCCCTATATACATTTCTGGAGATCACAAAGTATGTAGCCAGAAGTAAGTATGGCTGCATTTTGTCTTTAAAATTAACACTACGGAGGGGTATGACGCCGTGTCTTTTAGCGCATAACAGCTTTTTGCGACATGAATAGGAGTTGACCACGGCAATGGGATTTAAGTCTGATGAAGAACAGCTCCAAAAGCCAAAAAATATAATAAACAAGTGAGTAACAGAGTTAGAATATGGTAAAATCTGAAAACGTGGAAAAAATCAGACTTTCTTTTTCTTGATAGCTTTTGAAAACACTGTCGGTTGGGTTTTGTGAAGTGGGTGGCCAGGTCAAGTGGTGCTTTTTTTTTTAAACAAAACACTGTCGTTTGGGTTTTGGGAAGGAGGATGGTGGGTCAGCTGATCGGTCAATCAGTCAGTCAACATTGGCCTCTGGTGGATTTACGCGAGACATGCAGGTGTAAATGGCACTCCCGAGAGAAATTTGAAATCTCAAAGGGAGGACACAGTGGCCTCTAGTGGTTTCGCGAAAACAAAAACTGCAAAAAAATAGCTACTGGGATGTATTTGATGCTCTCCAGAAATGTACATAGGGGTATATAGAGAGTGCTTTTTTACAGTGCCATAACATTTATTAATCTGTTTAATTGATAAATACACATATAAAAAAAATAGCTACAACTTACAATTTATAAATGCACATTTTTTGTATTAAACAAAACATTATAAGATAATTATTATTTAGTAGTATCGTTCTTTGTTAGTTCATGTGATTTAATGTGCTTAACTAATGTGAACAAACTGAACCTAATTACCTTAAATCTAAAAAGAAAAATGATCGAATTTCAGTGTTTGTGTTTAACATTATTCTGTGATAATATGACTGTGAGTAAATGAGAATGGGTTTATATTTAAGACTGCGGGGAACTTGTCTGTGTGCTTGTTTATGTAAAGCATTTAATGAACGGTTAAGTCCTTAGGGATGTTATTGAAAAGATGTGGTTTTACCTGTTCAGTAACAAGTGTTCAGTAGGATGTCTGATTGTTTTCCAGATATGTTTTTGCTGTTGGCTGTGGTTTCAGCAGCACTTAGCATGCAGCACTGTTGCATTGTGGGATTGTGACAAATCAGATTGAGGCTCTTAAAATGTCTCTGTTATGTAAATTTGAAGTAGTAGCTCAATGTACAGTGGTAACTGGATTTTTTAAGCTGATTTTTTCCCATTATATTTGATTATACTGTATTGCACTTAAAAAAAATAACTGTCTATTAACAGTTTCTGTATTTCGTGATTTCCTTTTATCTGTGGTTGTGAATTTGTTTCTTGATCTCTTCTCTGTCGACTTTTGATGTTGAAAATTCAACTTTATTCTTAACTTTATAATAAGTTAATGTATAATAAATAATATATAGAGAAATATGTAAAAAACAGAAAATGTACGGCAGTTTATTACAAGGTTTTTGTAGTGTAATATACAACACCAACCCAGACAATAAACTATTAAAAATGGTAATAAAAGTCACTTTTTCCAACTTTTCAAGGTAAAAGGTTAATGGAAGAAAGATCAAGGTCCCATAATGTAATTCAAAAGCAAAAATAAACAGTGAAAATTAAAAGACAAAAACTAAACAAAGAAGAAACTGCTAATTTACAGCTATTTTTTACAGTGTGGCCTTTAATTAGTTGCTTCTAATAAGATAATTAGTTTTTTGTATCGATAAATAATTCATCAATACCTTTATATAAATTAGTCTAATTAATGTCTAATTCTACTATCAAATTCTGGATTTAAACTAAAATGCTTTTAATACATTTAGATGAGCATGAAATTGCTGAGTGAACATTTTAGGCACTGCAACGTTTGAAAAGGAATAGTTTACCCATATGCAATTTCTAAAAGTAAGCATCAATTAATAATAGTTGTTAAAATTATTATAAACATTGTCCATAGACCTTTTTGTTTGACATCAAGGTGGCACTGTGGCTTTGTGGTTAGCACTATCACCTTACAGCAAGAAGGTTGCTAGTTCAAGTCCTGGCTGGGTCAGTTGGTATTTTTGTGTGGAGTGTGCATGTTTTCCCCGTGTTTGTGTGGGTTTCTTCTGGGTGCTCCGCTCTCCCGAACAATGCGCTATAGGTGATCTGAAAAAGCTAAATTGTCCGTAGTGTATGTGTGGATGTGAATGCAAGAGTGTATAGGTGTTTCCCAGTGCTGGGTTGTGGCTGGAAAGGCATCCTCTGCAGTTCATTCCACTGTGGCGACTTCTGAAATAGAGACTAAGCCAAAGGAAAATGAATGATTAACGTGAGGATTTAAAATAAATTATCTTGATGAAATATTCCTAAACACATGCAAACATAACACTTTAAATATAACACTATTCCTACAAATACATCAAGGTCTTAATAATTGCTGTAATAACAATTCTAAAAAACAAATCAAATAATATTTTTTAACATCCAAACTATATACTTAAAACCGAGGTTGAGTATAAAGTCAATTTTCTCCTCTCTTCTCCTGCCTTGTAAAATGATGCTTATGAATTTCACTGCTGTAAAATAACAATAGCATTTTGTGCTGTGCTGTGAAAATGTGTAGGTGCGGTAAAGCAGGGATTTACCATTGATGTGACATTTCTGTGCCTCCACATCTTGGACCTGCACCTCCCTGGTGTTGTTGGTTTCTGCAGGTTGTTAAGCTCTCCAGCCAAGCTTTCTGCTGGATATAAAAAGTCTCCTAGTGTGGGTGCACACTGCGGGTGCCCTGTTTTCAGCATAAAATATGTCTAAACGTTGTCAGGTATGTTTTTTTCCCCTCTCTCTGTCTTTAAAAAGACGTGGGAATTGAGTTGTGGTTTTTCTGCACCTCTGTCTGATAATGTCAGGAATTGCTCTCCATCAGACAGGACAAAGATGCTCATATCTGAAGCACATCTCAGAAATACAAATCCCAGGCTTTTTAACATTGAAACAACAATGTGATTTTGACGTTATGGGAAGAACAGTGTATTTTTTTACAGGCTGAGAGAAACTGCCGTTTCTTGCAGAAAGTTCTATCATAGAATAAAAAATTGAAAGGTCAACTGCAACATTTAATTTCACAATTGTAAATTCTTTCCCCTTGTCATACAGTATACATTCACTGGCCACTTTATTAGGTACATCTGTCCAACTGCTCGTTATGGCAAATTTCTGATCAGCCAATCACATGGCAGCAACTCAATGCTTTTAGGCATGTAAACATGGTCAAGACGATCTGCTGCAGTTCAAACCGAGCATCAGCATGGGGAAGTCACTTCATTGGGTGCTTGTGAACATGTCGCATGTCGCTGTGGTGATTATCTTAATGCCTCTGATTGGCCTTTGGGTTTATTAGCTTTACAGAAACTAGAGTGATTTGTTAATATTCAAAGCAATGTAAAAAAAATCCAAATGTAATGCTGCAAATTGACACTTTATTTGTTAAATTGTCACACTTTGCTGTAATAGCAACAGTCATGATAGATTTGGTTTAGCTGTGCAGGGG